TGTGTAGTGTGGATATGTGTTTCTGTTTTTCGTACAGAGGGTTTAGAGTTTGAAGCATGAGGTTTTACGGTAATTGGCTGAATATGGTTTCTTCTATTGAATGAGTGATGTTATTGCCGGAGAAGGTGGGAGCAGAAGGAAAGCTTGGTGTTGCTAGGGTCCGTTCTAGGGCTTTGAGCTGGGTATTATTGATGACATATTTATTTGCAAGACCGTGGCTCAACCTCAGGAAAAATTCCCCTTGTTAGAGGTTCACAAATTTCTGCCAATTTCAGGCACACTCAAAGGCCCCACCTCCGTGACCCCACGGTGCCAAAGTGCAGCTCCAAGGCAAAATTCACGGGTCTAAGCTCAGCTGCAGTTTCTTTGATCTCTGTGTGCTGTCTGCCCGCAGTGCTGACGCAATCCAGCCAGACCGCCAATGGCCGACTCTGGAGTTTGTCTGTGATACCGCCCACCTGCAGCGCCAAAGATGTGCGCAATTTCAGGTGTGTTGGAGTTGGGGGAGTACCTGAGCAGGCTCTTATTTATGATGTATTTACTTGCAAGACTGCGGCTCAATCTCAGGAAAGATTCCTATTGTTATAGGGTCACAAATTTCTGCCAATTGCATGCACACTCAAAGCCCCCACCTCTGCGGCCCCACAGCGCCAAAGTGTGGCTCCAGGGCAAAATTCATGGGATTGTGCTCAGCTGTGGTTTTTTTGCTCTCCATGCCCCATCTGCCTATGGTGGTGACGCAATCCTGCCCGATCGGTAATGGTTGGCTCTGGAGTTTGCCTGCGATACTGCTCATTGCGGTGCCAAAGATGTGTGCAATTTTAGCTGTGGTGGAGTCGGGGGAGTACCTGCCAGTGACCTGTGGTCCTGATAACCGTGGCAAAGAAAAGCTTGGTGTCTCCCAGTCTGACCCAAGCCCGCTCTGTAATCCACTGGGAGGGGAGGGAGGTAGCCTTTCTGGTGCACCAGTGAGATCTCCACCCCTGAGTCTCAGCAATGGTGCCCGTGTCCTGCTGCACCCACACCATCCAAATTACCGACAAAATCAGCCACTGGAGGCAGGTCTCTGCTGCTGCCCACTGGAATATTGTATTGGTCACTGGAAGCTGCTATAAGTGACCTCGTTCTTGGCTCGGGGATCTCAGGTGGCTGCCTCCTCCTGGCAGACAGTGACTGCCCCAGAAAGGTTTCCAATGGTCTCTCTCAGGTGCCCATTCATCTTCCGGCAGTGGCTCTTTCCTAAATAATCTCTCTGTGCCTTTCCTCCAATTCTGCTCTTCTGTGTTTGGTGCACTCTGATTCAGTGAGCTGTTCAGAGTGCCAAAGATCCCAATTCAAACTGTTGTATCTAGTTCTTAAAGTTCTTAGATGCCAGAGGGAAAAATAAACGTGCTGCTCACTGGCGAGACTCCCATTCTTTTCTCTCCTCCTCTGGAATTATAAACTCTACCAGTGATTTCCCTCTGGCTGATGGTGCTTAACCAATCACCTGAGCCTGTCCCAATCAGTGAAGGAAGGAAGCCTGAGGTATGAGTGGAAGTCATCTGGTTTTAGGTCTGCCTGGAGTCATGGTATAAACAAACCTTAGCCACTTTGCACAAGGCCCCTTGAAAGTCCAGCATGGAACAGATGGTCTGTAAATCAGTGAGTGAACAGACATGTTGATGCCCTGGGGCATCTGGAAGGCTGGTCTTTGGGGAAAGATGTGTCAGGGTATGAGTGGGCACTGGAAGGTGGTTTAGACCTTTGTTGCTATGTTGCTGAGAACTCCAGGTCCTCCTTGGTGTGACTCCATTACACTGAGTTTGGAGAAAAAGTTGCTTTATTTCATTATGAAGTAAAGGAACAGTCAAGACTGAGTGCCTTCAAGACTGCTTGCAGGGAGTTTGGGGAGGTGAATTTTTATAAGGGAATAAACATGGTGGCAGTGTGTGCAGGTGCAGGTCACATGACAATGACTAGGCACTTTTTTAAAAAAATTGTGATTTGTATGAAAGTTTACAGAGCAAATTGCTTTTCCATTCAACAGTCCATGCACATTCTGTTTTGTGACTTTTACTGAAATCTCTGTACTATGACAGCATTCTTCTCACTTCTTCCCTGTGCCCACTCTTTCCTTTTATTCTTCCTTCCCACCCCCTCCCACCTTCCTAGCTCTGTGCTGGGGCAAACACTGTCTTTTTGATCTCATATGCTTGATTGCTGTAATGAGTGCACACCCTTCTGATGTTACTGTTCACTTTATAGTTCTGTCTATTGTTTTCCTGTCAGTTGAGTCACAGAGGTTAAATTCAGTTCCTAAGTTAAAGGGTGTCTAAGAGCCATAGATAGTCTCTAGGGTTTTATCAGTCCTCGTCAGATCAACAAGCTTAGTCTTTTTGTTTTTGTTTATAATTTTAAGTTTTGTTTCACATTTCCCCCTACTCTATTCAGGACATCTTATTGTGATCACTTTCAGAGGAGCCAGCAGTGGTATCTGGACACCATCTAGTTCTTCTGGTCTCAGGGTCATTGAGGCTGGAGTTCATGTGCACCATTAGGTCTTTGGAATAATTTTTTCCTGCATCTTTGGTTTTCTTCTCTCTTCTTTGCTCTGGATGGAGAGAGACCAAGAATTGCACCCC